AAAGAGACCTTCTATTGGGTGTAGAACAATAGGTGCCTGCCTTGCAATGCATGGAGGCAGTGACTGACCTGCTTTGCAGGTCAGACGCTGCTCTCCCTATGCATTGCTTATGGCAGGCCCCAATTAGATTGACAAAAGAACAATAGATGCTTTCCATGCATTACATGGAGGCATTGGATTTCAATGGCTTTCTGTAAGTTCTATTGCAGAAAGCCATTGAAATCCATCTGCGATTGCTTTCAATAGCAGATCCTGCGCTATTTTCTTGAGCACAGGATCTTGAGAAAATAAGTTGGGATTTATTTATTTTTTATCCATGTCCCCTTAGGGGCTCAGTACTTTGGCATACTGAACTTAATTAAAACAAGGTTAAGTTTATGAAGAAAACTACACTAAGTCACAACACCCAGAACCTCCATACATGAAGGCATTATACATTATAAGATGAAGTTGAATGATTTTATAATAATAATCATAAAATCACAATAACATTGATAAAATAACTATTCTTGAAACCAACATAAGTTTGTTTATATATGTACTGCATTGTTTATAATTAAACAAAGATAATTAGCATTTTGAAGCAAACTTACCACCAGCTAGCAACACGTTAGCATCCTTCGTCCCTTTGGGTAACGTTAAAAGACTAAACCACAGAAGCTGTCTTTTCCCTGTCCATTTTCAGATGTATGATGTAAGATCTATTTATTTGTAAATGGCATTAGCTTCAGTTCACACTCCAGACCAGATGGTGGCAAAATTGCACACTTTCAGTTTTTTTGAAAGGCACCATAAAAAGAAGAACAGCATCACCGTGAAGCCGGGGAGGATAAGAGATGCTCTTAAAATTTGCCATTTTTACTCGCACAATTCTGCATTAAAAGTGAATACTTATGAATAAATGCTTGAGATCTATTTTTAGCTGGAACTGAGGTGGCTGAGTGGGCTTAGGCAGACCTGTGGTTTGGGTGACAGTGGTAAACCGCTGATGGTTCTACTGCTTAGGGATCGACCAGTCCCATCTCATACTCTGTATCTCCAGCTTAGAGAGGCCCTTAGTGCTCGACTAGAAATGACTTGGACACCCAAGTAGGTGGAGTCATCCTCCTCTTTCTCCATGATGTTCTATTGAAAGAGGTCTGAGTTTGCACCACCCTCAGTTTCCTTCCATCATGTCACATCTGTTCTTGAACTACTTTAGATTAGGGCATGATGTGCTGCCTATTTAGAGCTTCTGGCCTATTTTATGTTGCCAGGTTTAGTCTAAGTGATTAAGGTTAATCCCAGTTAATCCATGATTTAAAAACAAGATAAATTTTATTTTTGTATGAGGTCAACTTTGTTTGAATATATTTTTTCTGTAGTAACTAAACTCATCATCACAAAACTCATCGTCGGGTTATCTGTGATACTAAAATTCACATGATAATCTGAAAAATCAGTGTGGCAAAGATGCAAAAACAGAAAAAAACTTTTTTTTTCTTTTAGTGGTGTTGCTGTTTATTACTTTATTCCTTTCTAAAACACTGGTGAAAAAGAAGTACTACTTATATCCAAACTAAAGTTTAAAATGCCAAAAAAGAAAAAAACTTCCAATATTCCACTGTAAAAGTAAAATGGAAGTACTCAAATCATTCAAATGCTCATTCAAAACATCAGCAAACAGCTATTATGCTAACATAAATGAATCATTTTACACCTCTTTTATTTACAGTGATATTGAGTCTTTTGTGCCTTGATAAATATAGAGGTTATGACTGGTAAAACGTGATAAGGAATACAAACAAAATCTGTAAAAAAAACAAAAAACTAAATTAACTCATACTGACTGGATTCTTTTAAGAAAATGATGAGAGGGAAGCTCAGCTGGAGACTGCAGCTTCAGAGAGGAGCTGCGTCTTGAAGGCAGTTGCCATGGAGATTAAAGGATTACTCAAACAGGCATGAAAGAATCACAGCAACACTCCAGGTATGTTTTTGATAGGGAAAAACATTATAACATGAGGTAAAGCTCAAAAAGTTTGATTTTACACAATACTGCCTCTTTCATATTTTCTCTCCAAAGAGATCAAAACAGGCTGCAGGCAGGCTGCTCTTCCATATCGGTGATTCCAGATTCTGAAATGTGTTGCTTCTAGAGGGCTACTCTACATGTAAAAAGTATGATGCTATGAGGATGGCAATACCTTGAGAAAAATAACAGAAACCTTCTACTATTAAAAAAAGGTTTCATGGATTTGGGCTGAAATCAATTTCAGCAAACACTGGATAGACAGACACTTTCGTTATGAGTCTGTCAGCTGGCATCAAGTTGGGGTCTCAGAATGAAACAGCTTGGAGCCGATCAGTCATGCAGTAGCGCTGATCTCAGCAGTGTGTCCCCAAAGCAGAGTAAGCAGCGGAGGTGGAGGGCTCTCTGTGGATGGTGCTAAATGGTGAGAGCTCCAGCTCAGCTGTGGGACATTCATTTTCAACTTCTCTGTTGTGGGGTGGGCTGCACTCCTCGCAGCAGCAGCAGCAGCAGTCCAGAAAGGCTCTGGTGAACGGTTGGCACAGAAAGAACAGCAGGACAGGGGTCACTGCAGACTTGCAGAACAGCAAGAGCTGACTGACCAGATGCAGGATGTCCAGGGTCTCCCTGGGAATGCTAGTTGCCATGTACATTGTGATGATGTTGCAGATGTTCTCAGGGATGATGCAGAAACCGTAAAGGATGGCCAAGGCCACCACGGCACAGTTCATCTGGCTCTCCAGCTGGATTTGCTTCTTGCTCCCTCGTACACAAACTCGCTCAGCATGGCGGATCTTTCTGGCAGTGACCAGCGAACTGCAGATGGTGAACAGTGTGGGCAGGCAGAAGTAGCAGCCAAAGTACCACCAGAGGCGTGCGCTGTCATAGGTCAGCCCCAGGACGTACAGCGTGTCTGGGAGCTCAGTGGAGATCTGAACCGCACAACGTTCACAGGGCGACACATCGGGGGGGTCACGGTCCTCTGTCACCAGCTGTCGGATGAGCAGCTCAGGTAAAGCCAGCAGCAATGCTCCAACCCAAATGACTGCCAGCTTGGCTGTGGTGGATGCCCAGTTCTCAATCATCTCATAGTACATCTTCACATTGGTGGCTGCACGAAAACGGTCGATGCACAGAGCACACAGTGTGAAGGTGGTGACCCCGAGAGACGCCACCTGGCAGAAGAACAAAAGCAGAATGTTAAGTGATATAAACACCAATCCATGAACATCACGACCCTTACCCTGATCTGATGAACCTTTGCACCTGCTACAAAACATCTTAGACATGGCAAGCTAGCACCTGACAGGCGTTTACACACACAGAATTTCACTTGTATTTACAAAAGAAATATTTGTCTTTCTTTACTTTTGCTGCTGACTGTGAGGACAGATGAATCAGGATCAACACAAAGAAAAACTTACTATATTTTTTGTGAAATCATTTAGAATGCCAAAGGACAATGTCATCTCTATTAATCTGTAGACTGCTTATATGCAATCCAGTGTTTGATTTCACTAAAGCATCCTCACATTATGCACCAGGTTTATGAGTGGAATACTTTGGTCATTTAGATATTTTTAAGTCAAGTTTCTGAGAACAGAGAGGCACCTTAAAACATTTATTTCTTCAGTGACATAAAGTGATTTAGAATTTAATTATTTTACACAATCAAAAAGACAAGTCTAAATCTTCCTATTTTTAATTAGGATGTATATGTAGCATATCAGCCCCTCAGGTCTAAACAGAAACCACAGCAGGCTGGATACGATCTAGAGCCAAACAGCCAGTTTGAACAGGAGCTTGCTCCATCACTGATGATGTGTCCAGATGCATCAGTGGATGTATTCGCACATGAACTCTGTGAGACATCAGTGACAGTAAGGAAACCACAAATAAGGTGGTGATTACTGGAGAGTCAGTGACAGCTGACAGACAGCTCCAGTCTCTGTTGGCCATTCTGTGTCCACCAATAGGAAGACACCCAAATAAAACTTATGATGAACTCAATTGAAAGGACGAGCTCCCAGATTGATGGACATAACAGTAGCAGACCCAGGAAAAGGACTACTGACTATGAGCAGTGTTCATGTGGTAAAGTCTGCAAGAACTGCATGGCCTGAAAATCCGCCAAGTGAAGATGAAGTGTTTGCTGGGAGCAGGAGTAACACAACGCACAGGTGAACAACCTGGTGAGATGTAGGAGGAGCCTGTAAGAGTCTCCCCAGAGCTGGGAGGCATCATGCCTTCCAGCATGGAGTCATGGCATTAATTGGTCATATGAAGCTCAAACTCAAGTTCAGTTAGATGGTTAGCTTTTGGGTTGAACTTTAAGATTCTCTGTGTTACTGTATGCGAGTGCGCGCGTGTGTGTGTGTGTGTGTTTTAGGCCTGCCCTCAGTTTCGACCCTGTTACTTGTGATGAAGATCCAGCAGCACTAAGGGCTGCAAGTTATCGACTCCATCAGTTTGTACATTTTTAACCAGTCTGATTTCATTCATTTTAGTGATGAAGGATTGAGACGTTTATGCCAAGAAGAAACTGTTGTGATGAAGCTAAATTATAAACAGAGCCTATTTAGAGGAGCTCGTCACTGTTTACAGTGATGAAGACAGTGGGATTAGGCATTCTCACTAATCCCACTCCCCAGTCTGATGGGGGAGCAGACTGTAACACATGCACAAGGTTTTTCACAGTGTGAAGTGACCTTAATCAGATAAACAAGACCTCCTTTCATTTAGATTTAGATGTGAAACTGGATCCACCTTCTGCTCCTGGGATCTTTATGTGCAGGACCTCTGCATATCTGGCTGCAGCTGTCAAAGAAACCTTCATCAAGCAAAGCCTGCCTGAAAGGGTGAGCAGGAGAATGACCTAAAAATGGTTTTAATAACTATAAAAATTAACCCTTACAGGATTCATAAAAACAGATTTCTTTCATAAATTCTTTATGAAAAGTGAAAGAGCATGAGCAAAGAAATGGAGCACACCAATATTAGAATCGGCACAGACTTTTACTCCAACCTGACAGAGAGAGAATCGTTGAGCTGAGGCCAACATGTGTTGGTCTGTCAAGACCCGACATGTCTGATAACACACTCAGCCACTCCTGCCTTCCTCTTGGGTTAGTGTGTGAGCCTCCTTTTAAATGATGGGAATTCCTCACTTTGGTGAATCATCGTCCAATTACAAGAACGTGTTATGGATTCTGTGTTTTCCTCTAGCTCTTATCTGCTTACACACACACTGTTGATGCTATGTTCATCTTTGTATCTTGTATGTTTCCTCACCCCATGTATGTTGGCACCAGCTTTTAAAGGTGTTCAGTTTGCTGTCTCATCATTTTAGTTGGATTTAAGTTCATTATCTTTTTTCTTTTTTTTTCATTACTAAGCAGCGTTGTTGGTTGCTAGGAGACCCTAGTGGGAAAAAAAATATGTTAGTATATTTCAAACATACTTACATTTGCATAAGTACATTTCAAGTATACTAAGTATTAAGTGTACGATAATAAATATATATGAAGTATACTAACAGCATGTTTGTACCAATTTAGGAATTTTTACTTTAAACACACTTAAAATTTTTATTTCCTTTATTTCTACTAGATCTCAACAGATAAACCCCGTTGAGATCTAGATCTCACTTTCAAGATTGACCTGGGATTGTACCATAATATACACTTAAGAAATATATTAAATAAAAGTATACTTTAAGTGAACAAAATATGTATTTGCTCAAGTATTGAAACAATATGCTTTAAAAGATATTTTGTATATATTTTAAAATATATGCTCAAAATAGATTTTTTTTTAAATTAAAGCTTACTTTAAAAGTAAACCATTAAATATGAAATAAATATGAAATTTCAGTGTTTTAAATTACATATCAGTGTTTATTTTAGGCTAATGAAGTATGTATTTTTAGGTGCTTAATAATCTTTTACTATTTTGTTAAAATTGACAAAAAATAACAAATATTAACAACCCTTATAGTGGAATTTGTGGTAAGTTTGCTTCAAAATGCTAATTATCTTTAACTATAAACATTGCAGTAAAGACATAAACAAACTTACGTTGGTTTCTGAAATAGTTATTTTGTCAGTTTGATTGTCACTTTTATGATTATTATTACTATAGCAATCATTCAGCTTTGTGTTATAAATGCATGGAGGCTCTGTTTGTTCCGACTTATATATTTATTCATAAATTTAACCTGGTTTTAATTAAGCTCCATAAGACAGAGACTTTGATATTGTGAGGTTGTTATAACTGTTGTGATCCGTGTTTTTCTGTATAGTTTGAGATTTTCTGTGATTGTTCCCAGCTGTGTCTTGTTCCCTGATTACCCTCCCTGTGTATTTAAGCCCACCTGTTGTCTTTGTCGTTTGTGACTCGTCAGATGTGTGCTGTCTCTGTCTAGTTAGTTAGTTAGTTGTCCACAGTAGAACTGTGAAGTCCTGTGGCAGCTTCAGCTCTTTCAGTCATTTAATTCAGTAGCTTCCAGTGTTAGCTTTAGCCATAGCTCCCTGTGCTGCCTACTCGTCCGGACTGTTGAGCTGTACATCTGTCATTAAATCATCACTCATCATCTTCATCCTGGGTCCTCCCTGTGTTCTCCCTCACTTCACTAAAACACAATTCATGACAATAACTTGTTCATCAATGTTTTAATCTTCAACATATATTTGCAGTCTAAGTAAATGAAGATGAAAGATGAAGCCAGAGAGATCAGGTGTTAGAAAACTTAAAGACTTTTCTGTCTCAGAAGAAGCTCTGGCTCCACCAGATCAACAAGCAGCTCTGAGGATGAACCTTCACATTGTCTTCATGATGCAAGTTTGTTTTTGTTTTTTCAATGAGGAGCTAGCTACATTTTCAACAACAAAAGCTGCTGTGTTACCAGCACCAAGTGCTTAATAAACATGATTTGATTTAAAGATAACTGGGCAGAATTTTTCTCCTTGTTAATCTAACATTTCTCTTTCATACATTTTATTTGTTGTTGACTTTCAGGGCCCTGTGATGGACTGGTGACCTGTCCAGGGTGAACCCTGCCTCTCATCTGATGACTGCTAGAGATGGGCAGCACCAGCCCTCCTCACCATCCTGCAAGGATCAGTGTGTTCAGATCATGGATGGAAAGCTTTTAAGGTCATTTGTCTCCTTAAGTATGCTCAATACTTAAGCTTAAAACAGCTTCATAGTTAATACCAACATCAGCTGATTCTATGACATTGCTGACTATTTTTTTTTACTTCTAACATAAACAGGTAAAGAGAACATCCAGAAATGTTTTTACCCCCCAGGCATCGGGTCCCAATCATCATCAGTTCTGATGATGTCACATACATGGCGAGTCCACATCGTCTTGAAATTGTAAGTATTATTTTTTTATTTGCCATTTTTCTGTACTCTTTAAAATACAAATGCTTTCTCTGTTTAATTAATCTATTGCTCTCTTTTGTAGGTTTCTGTAAAGTGCAGTGAATGTGAATGTTCTGTCGTTGATCCTCACTGTTCTTAGGAAGGAGAAATGTCAGTTTGTCTGCAGTAATACTGGAATACTGTGACATTGTATCAAAACAATACTGTCAATCAAATTTTATTTGTACAGCACATTTCAGCAGCAAGGCATTTCAATTTGCTTTACATAATTAAAAAACAAAATAAAAACAGCATGTGACATTGAATAAACAGTGAGAGAGATTTTGGGGAAAAAAAACAAAACACACTTTTGTTACAGAATTTAACCGCCTGTTGTCGCCGGACTCCGCCGTCCGTTTAACACGGGTATTATCCAGGCCCCGTCGCCTAACAGGACAAGGACTCCAACCTTGCAGCACCTGCCCTTGGTGAAACATTTTTCACATGTCCTCTAAAGTGTACCTATTGTTTCATTGTGCTGATTTTCATAAGCATGTTGTCTGTAAACTCTTAATATATTGACAATTTGAACAGTTCTGTGATAGTATATTGGCAATGTACTCTTGAAAAATGTGAATATATTGACTACACAATGTAATTACTTTCACCTGGAAAGTGTGTTGTAATGGATCCTTCTGTGTTCTGGTAACCTGATGTGTTTGCAGTACTGATGCGTGTATGAAACATGTAATGTGCAAAGTGGCAAAGCAGAATAATAAGACAATAAGTAACTAAAAAGTGTACTTCATTAGCAATTATGGTAAACCAAAAGTGTAACTGTAGCATACTGTAATCCCACTACTAATATTCTTGATATACATCAAGAATTCTAAATAAATTTTAAATGGAAATTGATCACAAAAATAGTACACTTAAGAAATACTAATCAAGCATGTTTATATTACATAAAAATCTGTATACTTAATGTATACAAAGTATAATAGTTCCAAAAAAAAAGAAAAAAAAAAGCATGTGATAGTACACTTAGTACACTGTGATTTTCTACAATTGAATTACTATTAAAATACACTAGGTACAAAATTAGTTGTTCCAAAATAACACACTTCAAGTATACTGGTAATTAGTCTGGCTTCGAGTATGCTCAAGTATGCTAAGATTTAACATGCTTAGTATATTTTTCACCAGACCGTTCTTGTGAATTCCTCATTTTCCCAACACACCGTTCTGGCCGGCCCAGTTAACAGGTTTCAGCCCATTAAAACACCAGAACCAAATTCATTCCACTGAGACCTGATCAATCCACCAAGTGTCCGTGGGTCCAATCAGGTCTCAATGCCTCACATTCAGTATGGTTCATGACAGTGTTGTGTTCAAGACCACCTAACCCGAGACCAAGACAAGACCAAGACCAGAGTGTATCGAGACC